AGAGAGATTTGAATTTCCCATCTGAAAGGGGAGCGGTAGCGCGTCAGGGCCTGGCTGAGGGGCGTGATTGGAGAGCGCCTTCGGCAGCCGCCCGTGGGAGCAGCAGCGGCCCCAGCTCGCTGGCGGAGTTACACGAGGCGGCCTTGGGAGCTGGACTAGCAGAAGGAACCGCCTCGTTGAGTCGGGCCGGAGCCTTGCAGTGGCTTAGACGGTTGCGGGGACCGCCAGGTCGGTGCTGGCCGCGGGCCGGGAAGGCGGAGTCGGGCTGCGGGCAACAGGGTCTCCGCTCTCGTCTTGAGGCTGCAAGCGCAGCCTGGGAAGCTGGGGAGCGCGGCTTTTGGGGGAGATCGAGACCGCCGAGGCATGGGATGGGGGAATGCGTGGCCGCAGCGCAAACCTTGGCGCGCTTGCCTTGGTGCTGAAAGGACAGTTCCCGCGGGGTCGGCCAGGGCCAGAGGGCCAGGAGGCGCGAGTCCCGAGCCTGAGACCCCTGCAGAAGCCCCCAACAGTCTGGCTCTCGAGGAACCAGGACCGCCCCGAATGCGGCGGGAGACTCAAGTCTGAAGCCAGAGAACAACTTCGAGCTTGCAGGGCTGGGGCGGGGGACGTCGGTCTTAGCTACTTCGCCTTGTGGTTGACCGGAGCCCGGGGGGGGGGGAGGGGGGCGCTCTCCGCCCTGGCGGAAGCATTGGTCCCCTAGGGGTAGAGTTCGGGATCCCGAGTGAGTCAGACAGCGGCGGGAGGGAGGCGAACAGACCGAAGGTGGTGAGAGGAGCTACTAAATGTCGATTGGGGGCGGGGGACTAAGGGGACTATTTGTCCTCTTCCCCGGAGGAGCCGAGGTTTGAGCTACACACGCCCGATCTCGGGGTCTTCTGGGGGGCCTCTTCCATGCCCCGGCTCTCACTGATCCCACTCTGCATCCACCCCCAGCAAAGTTTGAAACCGGGCTGGGTCTTAGGTTCAGCTTGGTGTACTAGGGGTACGGGGTCTCTCAGTGGCCGATAGAGAGCTCGGGGTAGAGGAGCAGGGTTGTTGGTCTCCGAGAGGCCCCAGAGGGGAGCACGGATTCCTGTCCTCCTGGGGTGGGGGAACGGGAAGCCTCCGCTGCTTCCCCTTTTCAGCCCAAGCTGCCCTCTCCCGCCCTCCACTGCCCCTTTCCCTCCCCCAGGGCTTCTCCTTCCAGGACCGGAGTGGAAGTGGGGGCGTAGAGGGACATCCCCCGTGTCTGCCACCGCCATTACCATCGAGTCTCTTGCAAAAAGCAAATGAGTGTTGAATTGAGTTGCGGTGAATCTATCCCAGACTTGAGTCATGAAAACAGCCACAAGGACAAATACTGCAGGTGCCCGAGTCTGCTTGTCAGTGGAGGGGACCGGGTCCCCAAAACTGCTGGGGCTCATACAGCTAAGCAGGTGCCTCCGCTGCCTTAGGACTGGAACTGAGCGGGAGTCAACGGGGAGGGAAACTTAAGACCTGCCCTGGGTCCAGGGCGCCAAAGGCAGGGAATCCCGTTCTAAGATAACACCCCTCCCCCTCTCCCTCCCGCCACCCCTC